GTAGGGTATAGTGTAGTGTATAGTGCGGTGTAAAGTGGTGTATAGTGTAGGGTATAGTCGTGTACAGTGTAGTGTACAGTGTAGTGTATAGTGTAGTGTGTAGTGTAGTGTGTAGTGTAGTGTGTAGTGTAGTGTATAGTGCGGTGTAAAGTGGTGTATGGTGTAGGGTATAGTAGTGTACAGTGTAGTGTACAGTGTAGTGTATAGTGTAGTGTACAGTGTAGTGTACAGTGTAGTGTGTAGTGTAGTGTATAGTGTAGTGTATAGTAGTGTAGTATATAGTGTAGGGTATAGTAGTGTACAGTGTAGTGTACAGTGTAGTGTATAGTGTAGTGTACGGTGTAATGTATAGTGTAGTGTATAGTGCGGTGTAAAGTGGTGTATAGTGTAGGGTATAGTAGTGTACAGTGTAGTGTATAGTAGTGTACAGTGTAGTGTACAGTGTAGTGTATAGTGTAGTGTACAGTGTAGTGTATTGTGTAGTGTATAGTGTAGTGTACGGTGTAGTGTATAGTGTAGTGTATAGTGTAGTGCATAGTATCGAATAAAGTGTAGTGTATAGTAGTATATAGTGTAGTGTATAGTGTAGTGTATAGCGTAGTATAGTGTATAGTGTAGTGTATAGTGTAGTGTATAGTGCAGTATAGTGTAGTGTATAGTGTAGTGTATAGTGTAGTGTATAGTGTAGTAAGGTATATAGTGTAGTGTTTAGTGTAGTAGTATATAGTGTAGTGTACAGTGTAGTGTATAGTGTAGTAAGGTATATAGTGTAGTGTATAGTGTAGTGTATAGTGTAGTGTATAGAATAGTGTATAGTGTAGTGTATAGTGTAGTGCATAGTGTAGTAAGGTATATAGTGTAGTATATAGTATAGTGTATAGTGCAGTATAGTGTAGTGTATAGTGTAGTGTATAGTGTAGTAAGGTATATAGTTTAGTGTAGTGTATAGTGTAGTGTATAGTGTAGTGTATAGTGTAGTGTATAGTGTAGTGTATAGTGTAGTGTATAGTGTAGTAAGGTATATAGTGTAGTGTATAGTGTAGTGCATAGTGCAGTATAGTGTAGTGTATAGTGTAGTAAGGTATATAGTGTAGTGTATAGTGTAGTGTATAGTGCAGTGTATAGTGTAGTGTATAGTGTAGTGTATAGTGTAGTGTATAGTGAAATGTATACAGCATCTGAAAGCGCGCGGTGCGGTGACCGTCTTTGTTCGACGGTTGAACCAAAAGCCGCGGCTGCTGCTTGCGAGGATGATGAGCGGAGTTCGCGTCACGATGGTTTATCCTACACAGCAGCGACGGACAGGGGCGTGCCCGTGGGACACAGCACTCCATGTGCACCATCGAATGCTACATTTGCATTGAACGGCAAAAACAATGACGACAGAACTTCCAAACGAAGTCTTTACTTCCGCTAACGAGCACACGGGGAGCGATGGTGTAGCGAAAGTGTACGTAACATACATGTGATTTATTTTATTTTATACCTACGTGACTCTACCGAAAGAACCAAAGAGTATATATATGTAAAAAACATTTCAAAAGGAAAAAAGTGCAAATTAATGTTAAATAATATCACAGTGTGTATCCTGATTATGCATCATCTTCGGTCGTGACTGGCGCACAAGTCCATCGATAGGACTATTAAAATAGTTCGATATATACGGTGTGGGGGGGGGGTGGGAAATCCGAACATGAGTATACGCAAAAATAAAGTTGATTATTTATCATTTCTATTGTTATATGAGATACCGGCGTAGATTTGCTACGCGTGTACGCCGTTAGACTCGTTTTACGCTTTAAGTTTGTTGTGAATGTTGGCTGGGTTATTTTCAATTTGTCTGGTCCCGGAGGTAATGCCCCTATTTTTGGATGTGATGACGAATCGACAACGATGGAGCAATAACAATAGGTTGTTGTTTTTAACCTTTATGGCCACAATAGCGCAGGAGTTGTGTTAGAATGTTCAAACACCGAATAGATTTTGCCTTTTGCAAGGCATCATCAAGTCTGCAATAACCACACATTTGCGGGAAAAAAAAACATGCAAACACACATGCTCCGGTGAGAATAGTTTTTCCAATTTTTTTCCGGCAACAAAACAACTGTGTTGAGATGTTAAAATGCCAAACTGAAACCTTTTAACAAGGAATCGTGTCTGCATTAGCCACAATGCTTGTGGTGAAAATGCAAACCAAAAACACACTCCGATAGTATGGTGATGCATTGTCCTTGACACCGATTGGCCTACACTAGAGACAGGAGCCTTCCTCATGGCCTAATCTCACTTCAATTGTTAGACCAGAGAACACCGCCAAGAGGCGAACAGCACAAAGACAATGCATATGGTGTTGTTATTATTATTATCAGAGCATGTTTGTTTGTATGCTTTGCCACAAGTTCGTGTGTGGCTAATGCGGACTTGATGATGCCTTGCAAAATGCAGTCTGTATGGTGTTTGAACATCTAAAACAGCTCCTGTGTTGATTGCCGGCAAGGGTGCAACAGCCCTGACGATTTTTGTCACGATTTTTTTTTATGCTGACCCCCCCAAAAAAGGGGTCCGCATTGATAGTCACGACGAGTCCGCCGGTTCACTCAATCTCGATTTTGTTTCTTAATCTCTGAGCAGTGGGGTTTACTGCTGTCGCTGCTGCTGCTGCTGTTGGTAATTCTGGCGAATTGCCCGATGATGCTGGATGTAATTACCAGCGAAACGTCGTATTCAAACTGTAAATGTTGTGGATTCACTCTTCAACACACCGGTGGGCTAAAGTAGTGAATTATTTGTCTTTTTGTCAACGTGACACTTTTTGCTGATTGGCCGTGTCGGGGTGGTGGAGGGTTACGACACATTTATAAATAAACGCGATCTAACCCAAAAACCTTTCTTATGAATCGTACAGCTATCAAAGCGAGGGACCTTGAAGGACTTGCAAACATCGCAATGCATTGTTGTTATTGTTGATGATCACGACGCCGTGCCACATCAATCCATGCCCACAAGTGGTAACAATGCCCGCTAGGTAGCCGCCTGGGCAAAGAATCGAACCCTGCCGAGAGACTCGTGTATACGTGGCGATTAAGGAGTTGTGTATATATATTATTATTACGTAATATATTAATATTATGTTATCTAATTTTACTATAGAATTGCGTGTGCTTTTAGTTTTGAGTATCGATGTGATGATGATGATGATGGCGCTTTGAGTGGTAGATTTGTGCTGTTGTTTTTTGATGCCTTGCCCAATTTCGATAAATCGGACTTATATATATAATTGAGTTATTGATATAGGAATAGGTTTTACCCTTTTAACTGGCACAAAAACTGACACCTTTATTCAAGGCATCATGTTTGCAAAAACCACAACACAAGCAGTCAGAATGCAAACAAAAAAGACAACTCTGATAATATGCACTGTCCTTGAATTCGATTGGTCCACACCCGAGACAGCTTTTCTTAGAGCCTAGACTCCATTGGTGTTGGACCAGAAGTTATTGATATTTAATGACTCGCTCACCATGTGATCTATGTTGCGCTCCTATTGCGACGTGCTCGCTCGCGTGTGTTGTGTTTGTTAGAACTCGCTGGCCTCTGTGCCCCATACTGGGACATCTGTGGACAAATCAAAGAGCTTCCTAGCTAATCGGATTCCTCCTAACTCATACATTCTTAAATCAACATTCTGAGATTTGTGCCAGACAGCCGCCACGGGCGTGTGAATTAAAAAAAATCAACGTTGACTTCAACCCGCTGGGTCCGAACGGTCTCATACATACCTCGTACACGGTGTTAAGAGTTTCGCAGTGACATCTGCAGCCACTAGGGGCCGCTACAGCAACGCCAGTGGCAATGGAATCTATTGTTATAGTTCGCACGTGACGATGATGACGACGATGATAAGCCGCCACTTAGGTTGAGCTGCTATCGTTTGTGATGGCCAGGTCCGCTTCTGAAAAATAAGCTACAGATCGGCTCAGTGGGGCCTTAGCTGGTACAGAAATTTAGTTTATAGATTAATGGTCAGGGAGTGAGTTCAACAGGTCACTAGGTAGCCATGTAGTCGAGTAACTAGATAGCTAGGTGGCTGGGTAACTAGATAGCTAGGTAGTCGAGTAACTGGATAGCCAGGTAGTCAAGTAACTGGATAGCTAGGTGGCTGGGTAACTAAATAGCTACGTAGTCGAGTAACTGGATAGCCAGGTAGTCGAGTAACTGGATAGCCAGGTAGCTGGGTAACTAGATAGCCAGGTAGTCGAGTGACCGGTAACAAGACAACCAAGTAACCGGGTAACCAGGTAATGAGATAGTAATGTAGTCGCGTAACGAGACAACCGGGTGACAGGATGACCATTTTACATGATGGCCGGGTAAACAGGTTAACAAAAGAGCCATGTAACCACATAACGAGATAATCCGGTAATCAGCGAACCAGCTAAACGTGTGAATGGCTCGCATAGGTGACCAGAAATCCATGTTCTTACGCAAAAGACCAGGTTAACGCGCAGTTTACCAATCATCAGGCTAGGGTGACCATGCAGACAGCACACGAGGGGGGGGGCAGCACCACGCCCCTCACTGGCGATGTGTACTCCACGCCAGTCCCCCAGGTACTCATTAGAGGCTGAGTCGGCCGAGGCGGGGTACGGCTGTAGGTACCGCCACAGGTGCACGGTCAGGTGACGACGACGGGTAGGTGGGTAGGTGGGTAGGTGGGTAGGTGGGTGGGCAGGTGGGTAGGTGGGCAGGTGGGTAGGTGGGTAGATGGGTGGGCAGGTGGGTAGGTGGGTTGGTGGGTAGGTGGGTTGGTGGGCAGGTGGGTAGGTGGGCAGGTGGGTAGGTGGGTGGGCAGGTGGGTAGGTAGGCAGGTGGGTAGGTGGGCAGGTGGGTAGGTGGGCAGGTGGGTAGGTGGGTAGATGGGTGGGCAGGTGGGTAGGTGGGTAGGTGGGTTGGTGGGTAGGTGGGTTGGTGGGTAGGTGGGTTGGTGGGCAGGTGGGTAGGTGGGCAGGTGGGTAGGTGGGTGGGCAGGTGGTTAGGTGGGTAGGTGGCCCGGGAGGAACGCACGTGGGGGTTGGGCACCGGGTTCCTTCCAGGTGGCGGCTTCGTGTCGCACGTGGGTCACGTGGGTCACGTGCCGCACGTGGGTCACGTGGGTCACGTGCCGCACGTGGGTCACGTGGGTCACGACCCTCGCCGTGGTGACGATGAGACGGCCAGAGACAGAGAGGGAGAGGCTGCGAAGAGAATGGGAGATCACGTTACTAACGCGCGTGCGTGTGTGTGTACGTGTGTGTGTGTACGTGTGTGTACGTGTGTGTGTGTACGTGTAAGTGTGTACGTGTATGTACGTGTGTGTGTAAGTGTGTACGTGTGTGTACGTGTATGTACGTGTGTGTGTACGTGTGTGTGTGTAAGTGTGTACGTGTGTGTGTACGTGTATGTACGTGTGTGTGTGTGTGTACGTGTCTGTGTGTGTACGTGTGTGTATGTATGTGTGTGTGTACGTGTGTGTGTGTACGTGTCTGTGTGTGTACGTGTGTGTATGTACGTGTGTGTGTACGTGTGTGTATGTACTTGTGTGTGTGTACGTGTGTGTGTACGTGTGTGTGTGTACGTGTGTGTGTGTACGGGAGCGGTAGTGTAGCAGTCTGCGCTACGCTGCGCTACGAACCCGGCGACCCGAGTTCGATTCCTGCTCACGGCCAACGCCAGTGACAATTATCTGAACCGGTCCTGGGCGTCCCCTAGGTCAACTCAGCCTCAAATGAGTACCTGGTGCGATGTGTAAAATCACCGTCACAAGGAAGGCAAAGGCGGCCGTGCGTGGTTCTGGCCACCCACCCCCTCGTGTGCCGTGTCGGCCTTCATAGGTGGTCGCTAACAGCACTTGCCCCAACAGTCTGTTACAGGCTATACGGGGGATCTTTGTCTCTGTGTGTAGCCCGCGACAGGCGGTTGGGGCAAGTGCAAAGACAAAAATCCCCCGTATAGCCCGCGACAGGCAGTTGGGGCAAGTGCAAAGGCAAAGATCCCCCGTATAGCCCGCGACAGGCAGTTGGGGCAAGTGCAAAGGCAAAGATCCCCCGTACAGCCCGCGACAGGCAGTTGGGGCAAGTGCAAAGGCAAAGATCCCCCGTATAGCCCGCGACAGGCAGTTGGGGCAAGTGCAAAGGCAAAGATCCCCCGTATAGCCCGCGACAGGCAGTTGGGGCAAGTGCAAAGGCAAAGATCCCCCGTATAGCCCGCGACAGGCAGTTGGGGCAAGTGCAAAGGCAAAGATCCCCCGTATAGCCCGCGACAGGCAGTTGGGGCAAGTGCAAAGGCAAAGATCCCCCGTATATCCCGCGACAGGCAGTTGGGGCAAGTGCAAAGGCAAAGATCCCCCGTACAGGACGCAACAGGCAGTTGGGGCAAGTGCAAAGGCAAAGATCCCCCGTACAGCCTGCGACAGGCAGTTGGGGCAAGTGCAAAGGCAAAGATCCCCCGTATAGCCCGCGACAAGCAGTTGGGGCAAGTGCAAAGGCAAAGATCCCCCGTACAGCCCGCGACAGGCAGTTGGGGCAAGTGCAAAGGCAAAGATCCCCCGTACAGCCTACAACAGCCAGTTGGGGCAAGTGCAAAGGCAAAGATCCCCCGTACAGCCCGCGACAGCCAGTTGGGGCAAGTGCAAAGGCAAAGATCCCCCGTACAGCCTACAACAGCCAGTTGGGGCAAGTGCAAAGGCAAAGATCCCCCGTACAGCCCGCGACAGCCAGTTGGGGCAAGTGCGCTCGCACAGGCACCAGACACGCGTGCTCACCCGTGCAAGGGGGTTGACGGCTCATCAAGCGATGGGAACTTTGTATGCCACCGCAGGGCGCCTCCTCTTGAGGTAGTGGCCCCGCATGAGGACTCCCGCTCGGGGGTGGCCACCGTCTGGCCTGGGTCCGTGGGGCCGACGGACCAGGCGGCCTTGCATGGGCCTGGGCTTTGGGGCAGCTGTAGAGAGGGAAAGTGGATCGGGGGGTGGGGGGAGGGGGATGGAGAGATATTCGCGGGGTGACTCCACAGGATTTTCCTGTTGCGCGTAGTCACTCTAGGAAGTTTCTTCGTTCGTGTTTTTGTTTCTTGCATGTAGTGCATAGTAGTGTAGTGTATAGTAGTGTAGTGTATAGTGTAGTGTATAGTAGTGTAGTGTATAGTGTAGTGTGTATGTTGGACTTGAGCATCGTGGTATAGTGTATAGTGTAGTGTAGTGTGCATGTTGGACTTGAGTATCGTGGTGTAGTGTATAGTGTAGTGTATAGTAGTGTAGTGCATAGTAGTGTAGTGTATAGTGTAGTGTGTATGTTGGACTTGAGCATCGTGGTGTAGTGTATAGTGTAGTGTAGTGTGCATGTTGGACTTGAGTATCGTGGTGTAGTGTAGTGTATAGTGTAGTGTGCATGTTGCACTTGAGTATCGTGGTGTAGTGTATAGTGTGGTGTATAGTAGTGTAATGTATAGTGTAGTGCATAGTAGTGTAGTGTATAGTGTAGTGTGTATGTTGGACTTGAGTATCGTGGTGTAGTGTAGTGTATAGTGTAGTGTGTATGTTGGACTTGAGTATCGTGGTGTAGTGTAGTGTATTGTAGTGTAGTGCATAGTAGTGTAGTGTATAGTGTAGTGCATAGTAGTGTAGTGTATAGTGTAGTGCATAGTAGTGTAGTGTATATTGTAGTGCATAGTAGTGTAGTGTATAGTGTAGTATATAGTGTAGTGTATAGTATAGTAGTGTAGTGTATAGTATAGTGTAGTATATAGTGTAGTGTATAGTGTAGTGAATAGTAGTGTAGTGTATAGTAATGTAGTGTATAGTAGTGTATAGTGTAGTGTATAGTGTGTAGTATATAGTGTAGTGTATAGTGTAGTGTATAGTGTAGTGCGTAGTGTAGTGTGTAGTGTAGTGTATATTGTAGTATATAGTGTAGTGTATAGTAGTGTATAGTGTAGTGTAGTGTCTAGTGTAATGTATAGTAGTGTATAGTGTAGTGTGTAGTACATAGTGTAGTGTATAGTGTAGTGTATAGTGTAAAGTAGTGTATCGTGTAGTGTATAGTGTAGTGTGTAGTATATAGTGTAGTGTATAGTGTAGTGTATAGTGTAATGTATAGTGTAGTGTACTAGAAGAGCACTAGTGTATAGTGTAGTGTATAGTGTAGTGTATAGTGTAGTGTACTAGTACAGCACTAGTGTATAGTGTAGTGTATAGTGTAGTGTATAGTGTAGTGTATAATGTAGTGTATAGTTGAGTAGTATGTATGGATATTAAACTTCATTCGCACCGTACGTAGCCAACCAGACTAATCGGAGGTGCAGGGGAAGGACAACCAACTAAACACAACAACAACAACAAGCAGCTCTAAATAAATGCGTTTTCAATCGAGATTGAAAAGTGGCTTCCTCATATATATATGTGTGTACAGAGACGGTGGTTCTTCTTAACCTGGGGTGCATCACGCACCCACCTGGGGGTGAGAGACACGGCCAGATTTGTAAAACCGTCGACATCACAAATAAAGCACGGGGCGACGTCGCTAACAACCCTCCGTCGTCTCATCAACTCCCCTCCCACGTGTCTGTTAGCATTGCTTTGCGAACACTGCGGCCAAGGCTAAGCAGCTCAGATGTGTAGGCCTCGACTTCAACATAGCCATTTCTGTGACCAGTCACAAGCTAATCACTCAGTTATTCCAATGCTAAATTCGCCTAGTTATTTCAATGCTAAATTCTCCTGTTTGATTTGTACTAGGTGCCTCTGTGAATGTGTATGCTCTGACTTTAACGTAGCTATTTCTGTGACCAGTTACAAGCTAATCACTCAGCTATTTCAATGCTAAATTCTATGCTAATTCCTTTGCCAAGGGGTGCCTCTGCGGATGTGTATGCTTTAACTTTAACATAGCCATTTCTGTGACCAGTCACAAGCTAATCACTCAGTTATTCCAATGCTAAATTCGCCTAGTTATTTCAATGCTAAATTCTCCTTTTTGATTTGTACTAGGTGCCTCTGTGAATGTGTATGCTCTGACTTTAACATAGCTATTTCTGTGACCAGTTACAAGCTAATCTCTCAGCTATTTCAATGCTACATTTTATGCTAATTCCTTTGTCAAGGGGTGCCTCTGCGGATGTGTATGCTTTAACTTAGCTATTTCAATGCTAAATTCTATGCTAATTCCTTTGTCAAGGGGTGCCTCTGCGGATGTGTATGCTCTGACTTTAACATAGCCATTTCTGTGACCAGTCACAAGCTAATCACTCAGCCATTTCAATGCTAAATTATATGCTAATTCCTTTGTCAAGGCGCTTTGTTTCTTCTCACACAGCTTAAAGGTCGTGATCTGAACGTGGCTCTTTCACTCCAGCGCTGTCCTACCAGACAGTCTCGTCCCCTTCACCTGATGAAGGCCGCTTGTGTTGTGGCCGAAACGTCGTGAGAATATTATCGCGCTATTTTATTTTATCAATTTATTATTTTATTCTCATTCTACGTGACTTTACCGAAAGGACCAAAGAAGATGAATCCTTGCAGTCACGAAAGCTTTAAGTCGAAATTTAAGCACCACTGCTCCAGAGGATTTTATACACACGGAGGACCGCAGATCTCGGGCAACTGTGAGCAGCGCCGAGCCCTCGTCACAGCTCCAGCAGGCTGCTTCGGACTTTCCCTTCCCCACTCGTCTGCGCTTCGTCCGGTTTCCCTTCACCCTCCCCTACACGTTCAGAGACGCGCATTGAGATTGATGTGGGAACACGAGGATTGTTTCGCTGGCTGTCAACGTCCACGTGACGGCGATGATGACGATGGCGATAAAGCCACTTCGTTGGGCGGCTATCATTTGTGTGGACAGTGGCTGTGAGATGTTAACTACCTCGCCTGGTGTGCAGGTGGTCGTGGCTAGGAGATGTTAACTACCTCGCCTGGTGTGCAGGTGGTCGTGGCACAGGAGATGTTAACTACCTCGCCTGGTGTGCAGGTGGTCGTGGCACAGGGAGATGTTAACTACCTCGCCTGGTGTACAGGTGGTCGTGGCACAGGAGATGTTAACTACCTCGCCTGGTGTACAGGTGGTCGTGGCACAGGAGATGTTAACTACCTCGCCTGGTATACAGGAGGTCGTGGGTTCGACCCCGACACTGACGCCTGCTGCTGCTGTAGATTTGGAGTCTGCGTCTCTCTCTCTCTCTCTCTCCCCGTGGTCACGTGTCTTTATCTACCCGTGGTCACGTGTCTGTCTCTCCCCGTGGTCACGTGTCTCTCTCTTCCCGTGGTCACTGAGATTTTTCTCCCCGTGGTCACGTGTCTCTCTCTCCCCGTGGTCACGTGTCTCTCTCTCCCCGTGGTCACGTGTCTGTCTCTCCCCGTGGTCACGTGTCTGTCTCTCCCCGTGGTCACGTTTCTCTCTCTTCCCGTGGTCACTGAGATTTTTCTCCCCGTGGTCACGTGTCTCTCTCTCCCCGTGGTCACGTGTCTCTCTCTCCCCGCGGTCACGTGTCTGTCTCTCCCCGTGGTCACGTGTCTCTCTCTCCCCGTGGTCACGTGTCTCTCTCTCCCCGTGGTCACGGAGATTTTTCTTCCCGTGGTCACGTGTCTGTCTCTCCCCGTGGTCACGTGTCTGTCTATCCCCGTGGTCACGTGTCTGTCTATCCCCGTGGTCACGTGTCTCTCTCTTCCCGTGGTCACTGAGATTTTTCTCCCCGTGGTCACGTCTCTCTCTCCCCGTGGTCACGTGTCTCTCTCTCCCCGTGGTCACGTGTCTCTCTCTCCCCGTGGTCACGTGTCTCTCTAATTAGTCTTTGCTATTGAAATTGAGAGGAACAAGAATAACTTTAATCGCTCTGACAGCTACAGGCTTAGTGCGGCCTGGAAGCGTATTATTAAATAATACACATTACATTTTGATTAAAGAATTACTAATCTACAACTCATTACTAATCATAACCAATGACTGATTACTAATCGATTATATAATTACAATACCCCCCTCCGCCTCTAATCTCTGCACCTGATATGAGTTAAGTGATGACGTCACCCTGCTGCTCTATATAAAACCGGGAGCAAGCGAGGGCTTTACAATTCTGGTGAATTGCCCGATGATGCTGGATGTAATTACCAGCGAAACGTCGTACTCAAACTGTAAATGTTGTGGATTCACTCTTCAACACACCGGTGGGCTAAAGTAGTGAATTATTTGTCTTTTGTCAACGTGACACTTTTTTTGCTGATTGGCCGTGTCGGGTGGTGGAGGGTTGCGATACATTTATAAATAAACGCGATCTAACCCAAAAACCTTTATTATCAATAATATTGTTCGCGAAAGCCTACGTGTTAAACTAGTTTAGTTTTAGTTTACAGAGCTCCCCCGTGTGTGCACTTACCGCACGTCTCGTGGAACAGAGCCAGGCACAGCAGTGCGAGCAGGAGAGTCGCCTTCACGTTCATCGTCGTCTTGGGAAGGAGAAGTCGCAGGGCTGGAGAGAGATGGAGCGAGAGAGATGGAGAGAGAGAGAGAGATGGAGAGACTTGGAGAGAGATGGAGAGACTTGGAGAGAAAGATGGAGCGACTTGGAGAGAGAGAGATGGAGAGACTTGGAGAGAGAGAGATGGAGAGACTTGGAGAGAGAGAGAGATGGAGCGAGAGAGATGGAGCGAGAGAGATGGAGAGAGAGAGAGAGATGGAGAGACTTGGAGAGAGAGAAAGATGGAGAGACTTGGAGAGAGAGAGAGATGGAGCGAGAGAGATGGAGAGAGAGAGAGAGATGGAGAGACTTGGAGAGAGATGGAGAGACTTGGAGAGAAAGATGGAGCGAGAGAGATGGAGAGAGAGAGATGGAGAGACTTGGAGAGAGAGATGGAGAGAGAGAGAGGAGCAGAGAGAGATGGAGAGACTTGGAGAGAGAGATAGAGAGAGAGAGATGGAGAGATAGATGGAGAGACTTGTAGAGAGAGAGATGGAGAGAGAGAGAGAGGAGCAGAGAGAGAGATGGAGAGACTTGGAGAGAGAGATGGAGAGAGAGAGAGATGGAGAGACTTGGAGAGAGAGAAAGATGGAGAGACTTGTAGAGAGAGATGGAGAGAGGAGCAGAGAAAGAGAGATGGAGAGACTTGGAGAGAGAGAGATGGAGAAAGAGAGAGAGATGGAGATACTTGTAGAGAGAGAGAGATGGAGAGACTTGGAGAGAGAGATGGAGAGACTTGTAGAGAGAGAGAGAGATGGAGAGACTTGGAGAGATGGAGAGAGACTTGTAGAGAGTGACTCGAGCCACAAGTGGGGTTCTGGTGGGAGATTGCCCCTCGCTTTATAGGTCCCTCTCGCCGTGACATCCTCTGCCCCCCTCCCCTCCCTCCCCCTCCACCGATCTCCATCGAGTCTCAACAGCGGCGCGAGAGGAGGTGGAGGAGGAGGAGGGGGACGAGGAGGAGGCGGCTCGTTTGGTTTCCCAGCACACCCGGGGTCTCAACAGAAAGTCCCCTCCCGTGTGTATCTGTGGCTTCCTTCCCGGGAAACGGAAGAAAAATGAAATTCGCGTGAAAGCGGCGACTTTTGGGTGTGGGGGTGGCAGGGAGGGGGAGGAGGAGGAGGGGGGAGGAGGGGGGAAGAGAGGGGGGTGGGGAGTGGTGGCGCAGCGGTTAGCGCAGCGCTGCGGGGAACCCGTCAGAAACCCGAGTTCGATTCCCGATCGCGGCCACCGGCAGCGATGAGTGACGATTGTATCGGAACCGCTCCAGGGCCTCTCCCCTAGGTCGACTCAGCCTTGTAAGAAAAAAAATATTAATGAGTGGTGCCTGGTGCGGTGTCTAGTAAACGTCCCCACTGGGGGAGACAAAGGCGGACGGGGCGTGGTGGTGCTGCTGGCCACCCATCCCCTCGTGTGCCACAGCGCCGGTAGCCTTCATAGGCGCTCGCAAACAGCACTTGCCCCAACAGCCTGTCACAGGCTACACGGGGGATCTTTGTCTTTGTGTGTTCATAGGCGCTGCTGCTACTCGCTAACAGCACTTGCCCCGACAGTCTGTCACAGGCTACACGGGGGATCTTTGTCTTTGTGTGTTCATAGAAACTGCTGCTACTCGCTAACAGCACTTGCCCCTACAGTCTGTCACAGGCTACACGGGGGACCTTTGTCTTTGTGTTCATAGGCGCTGCTGCTACTCGCTACTAACAGCACTTGCCCCAACAGTCTGTCACAGGCTACACGGGGGATCTTTATCTTTGTGTGTTCATAGAAACTGCTGCTACTCGCTAACAGCACTTGCCCCAACAGCCTGTTACAGGCTACACGGGGGACCTTTGTCTTTGTGTTCATATGCGCTGCTGCTACTCGCTACTAACAGCACTTGCCCCAACAGTCTGTCACAGGCTACACGGGGGTTCGATCCCGACCCTGACGATGCCTGCTGCTGCTGTAGATTTGGAGTCTGCGTCTCTCTCTCATCATCATCACGGTGGCTATGAGATGTTGACTACCTCGCCTGATATGCAGGAGGTCGTGGGTTCGATCCCGACCCTGACGATGTCTGCTGCTGCTGTAGATTTGGAGTCTGCGTGTCTCTCTCATCATCATCATCATCACGGTGGCTATGAGATGTTGACTACCTCGCCTGGTGTGCGGGAGGTCGTGGGTTCGATCCCGACCCTGACGATGTCTGCTGCTGCTGTAGATTTGGAGTCTGCGTGTCTCTCTCATCATCATCATCATCACGGTGGCTATGAGATGTTGACTACCTCGCCTGGTGTGCGGGAGGTCGTGGGTTTGATCCCGACCCTGACGACGCCTGCTGCTGTAGATTCCCACACGATGATGATGAACTCCGGCTCACTTACCGGCACTTGCCCCAACATCCCCATTGAAGGCTTCCCCCAGGGAGGGTTGGGGGGGGGGGGCTTTGTCTTTGTGTCCTACAGGAAATGCCGCGAGCGTTTCTGCTAAACGTCGTTGATGGTTCACTTGTTGACACGAACGCGCTTTTCAGAGTGAGCGCGCCTCAATTCCCGCGCGGGGCGTAAGCCAGAAGAGCCGGCGTTTGGCACGCCCGGCCACGCAGATGTCTCGGTACAAAGCAGCTTGCACCGCGTGCCGGGGAATGTGGGGACGGTGCGCGCGCTGTTTGCCTGTGAGCGAGCGCCTGGTGTGGTGGTGCAGCGTCGCACAGGATGTCCTCGCTAGTCGCGAGTTTACAGTCGGCGGCTGTTGTTCTGCCATGAGACTGAGTGAGTGAGAGTGAGTGGGGTTTGTGTGATCGCCCCCTGTTCTACAGAGTGAGTGGAGTTTGTGTGATCGCCCCCTGTTCTGCAGAGTGAGAGGAGTTTGTGTGATCTCCCCCTGTTCTACAGAGTGAGTGGAGTTTGTGTGATCGCCCCCTGTTCTAGAGAGTGAGTGGAGTTTGTGTGATCGCCCCCTGTTCTACAGAGTGAGTGGGGTTTGTGTGATCGCCCCCTGTCATACAGAGTGAGTGAGTGGAGTTTGTGTGATCTCCCCCTGTTCTACAGAGTGAGTGGAGTTTGTGTGATCGCCCCCTGTTTTACAGAGTGAGTGAGTGGAGTTTCTATCATCTCCCCCTGTCATACAGAGTGAGTGAGTGGAGTTTGTGTGATCTCCCCATGTTCTACAGAGTGGGGTTTGTGTGATCGCCCCCTGTTCTACAGAGTGAGTGGAGTTTGTGTGATCGAACCCTGTTCTACAGAGTGAGTGAGTGGAGTTTCTATGATCTCCTTCTGTCCTACAGAGTGAGTGAGTGGAGTTTGTGTGATCGCCCCCTGTTCTGCAGAGTGAGAGGGAGTGGAGTTTGTAGGATCTTCCCCTGTTTTACAGAGTGAGTGAGTGGAGTTTCTATGATCTCCCCCTGTCATACAGAGTGAGTGAGTGGAGTTTGTGTGATCTCCCCCTGTTCTAAAGAGTGAGTGGAGTTTGTGTGATCTCCCCCTGTTCGACAGAGTGAGTGGAGTTTGTGTGATCGCCCCCTGTTCTACAGAGTGAGAGTGAGTAGGGTTTGTGTGATCTCCCCCTGTTCTACAGAGTGAGTAGAGTTTGTGTGATCGCCCCCTGTTCTACAGAGTGAGAGTGAGTGGAGTTTGTGTGGTCTCCCCCTGTCCTACAGAGTGAGTGAGTGGAGTTTCTATGATCTCCTTCTGTTCAACAGAGTGAGTGGAGTTCGCGTGATCTCCCCCTGTTCTACAGAGTGAGTGGAGTTTGTGTGATCGCCCCCTGTTCTACAGAGTGAGATTGAGTGGAGTTTGTGTGATCGCCTCCTGTTCCACAGAGTGAGAGTGAGTGGAGTTTGTGGTCTCCCCCTGTTTTACAGAGTGAGTGAGTGGAGTTTGTGTGATCTCCCTCTGCTCTACAGTGAGTGAGTGGAGTTTAATGATCTCCCCCTGTTCTACAGAGTGAGTGGTGTTTGTATGATCTCCCTCTGTTTTACAGAGTGAGTGAGTGGAGTTTGTGTGATCTCCCCCTGTCCTACAGAGTGAGTGAGTGGAGTTTCTATGATCTCCTTCTGTTCTACAGAGTGAGTGAGTGGAGTTTGTGTGATCTCCCTCTGTTCTACAGTGAGTGAGTGGAGTTTGTATGATCTTCCCCTGTTCTACAGAGTGAGTGGAGTTTGTATGATCTCCCCCTGTTTTACTGAGTGAGTGAGTGGAGTTTCTATGATCTCCCCCTGTCATACAGAGTGAGTGAGTGGAGTTTGTGTGATCTCCCCCTGTTCTAAAGAGTGAGTGGAGTTTGTGTGATCGCCCCCTGTTCTACAGAGTGAGAGTGAGTGGAATTTGTGTGATCTCCCTCTGTTTTACAGAGTGAGTGAGTGGAGGTTGTGTGATCTCCCTCTGTTCTACAGTGAGTGGAGTTTGTATGATCTCCCCCTGTTCTACAGAGTGAGTGGTGTTTGTATGATCTCCCTCTGTTCTACAGAGTGAGTGGAGTTTGTGTGATCTCCCCCTGGTCTACAGAGTGAGTGAGTGGAGTTTGTAGGATCTCCCCCTGTTCTACAAAGTGAGCGTGAGTGGATTTTGTATGATCTCCCCCTGTTCTACAGAGTGAGTGAGTGGAGTTTGTATGATCGCCCCCTGTTCTACAGAGTGAGTGGAGTTTGTGTGATCTCCCCCTGTCCTACAGAGTGAGTGAGTGGAGTTTGTATGATCTCCCCTTGTCTACAGAGTTAGTGAGTTGAGCTGGTATGATCTCCCCCTGTTCTACAGAGTTAGTGGAGTTTGTATGATCTCCCCCTGTTCTACAGAGTGAGTGAGTGGAGTTTGTATGACCTCCCCTTGTTCTACAGAGTGAGTGAGTGGAGTTTGTGTGATCTCCCTGTGTTCTACAGAGTGAGTGGAGTTTGTATGATCTCCCCCTGTTCTACAGAGTGAGTGAGTGGAGTTTGTATGATCTCCCGCTGTCCTACAGAGTGAGAGTGAGTGGAGTTTGTGTGATCTCCCTGTGTTCTACAGAGTTAGTTGAGTTTGTATGATCTCCCTGTGTTCTGCAGAGTGAGTGAGTGGAGTTTGTGTGACCTCCCCCTGTTCTACAGAGTGAGTGAGTGGAATTTGTGTG